GTTTTTGCTGCCGTCCCTGTAAGCGAAAAGCGCTTTTGCGTTTGCAGGAGAACTCCAACTGTGAAAAGCTACAGGAAAATGCGTGAAGAATATGCGAAAAATTCTGCCAGTAAATCAGTTAGTGCTGCTGCATGCGTTGATCGAAAACCACTGTTACAGTTGTGCGATGCCTGGAAAAATTTCAGAGTAAGTGGGTTTCTTCACAACAGGTGGCATGGAATTTTTCACTCTGTGCTTTCTAGTCCCCGATTTTGCATCGATCGGAGCACTCCAGAAGCCAACAGTGGGTCAGACTGTTGTTTTATGTGTCCAGGATTATTTACAGTGGCTTCTTTGGAGAATCTAAGGGTTTGAAGGAACCAACAGCAAGCAACAGAATTCTGTGAACGTGCATGCATTAAAGGTCGTTTTTACAGGGGATTACTTGAAGAGCGGTATATATGCATGGAGTTATAGGTGTAGGGTACAGAAATGGAAGAGAAACACAGTATTAAACAGGGAAAAGCCCAGCAGTTAGGTAGTGCTAAAGTTAGGTTCCCACAATTTTTGGGTGCCGGAGAAGAGGGCAAATAAGCTCATATATATGCATATGGGATTTGCTTTTTCAGTTCGATACTTCGCAACTGCACTTTTTGTCGAAGGAGACGGGAGCGATAAGCGATACAGAAAAGGGCCGTGGGGATAGGCAAGATGAAGGTACCAGCCCTGCATGTAAAGCAGAATCGCCGGATTGAGGTCGCTTGACTCATTGTGGCGAGTGTCGTTTTTGCGACGCTTCATCCCCACGTCTGTGTTATTTGTTGTTTTTTTGCGTGCTCATTTTTTATTATATATTTCTTCGCTGGTGCTGCTGTGTGTTCCTGCTATGCACCCAGTTCGTTGATCATCCCAAATCTCTTTGTTCCGAATCACATCGGCATGATTTAGAAAGAAATCTGTAGCACATTTGAGGACTCGCGAGCTGAGGTCATGTAATTAAAATAACTGCCGCGCGAGGAAAGCAGCGAATTACAGCTCTCAGTTTATCTGTTTTCTGTCTAATTTATGCATAAGGATATTAACAGTTTGGGACTGCAGTAGATGTTTGGCGCTTGGCTTGCTTCCCCATTTTTTCGCGTTCTGTGAGCTAAATCTGTGCGGCATTTTAGAGGTTGAGGAGTGGACTTCGAGATCACTTGGCGCATTTCCAAAGAGCTTGCTTGGCCTTGAAATTTGCTAACCCTAAGACATAACGTTTCACTCGTTCCTCATTTTTCATCTGTTTGTTAGCGCGCGATGACCCCTCTTTTTCCCCACACTTTCCAAATGTTGCCCGTGTAATTACGGTGCTGTATATCTAAAATTACTTGTCAGTACTAAGTGCAGTCATCGGCAACAA